ACTGTGATTGTTTCTCCCTCAAAGTGTTGAGGCATATTGTCTGTTAGACCACCATCTACATAATACTGCCAGGAAAAGAAACCATGAGTTAATAAACCAGGAATACAATTACACACATGAAAAAACTCCCATTCTTTGAACTAAAATTTTGATTCACAATAATAATATCATGACTTTTGATGTCAACAAGAAGCTTGTTTTGATCTCATTTCCTCTGGTAATTGTCCAACACTTTACGTGCTAAAACATGAAATCGTGATCTCCCTAAAGACACAACAGGAATCCTTTGGCCCAATGCACAATGAGACCAAACACGATACACACAGTGATGATGCACTGAACTTTTTTCTTCAGTTATGTGTAGTAATTGGGGATCAAAATTACAAGTTCAACAGAAAATCTACATTATAACTTTATACACAATTTATCAACAAACAATATATAACATATAATTTACAGTACCTATATTAACATGATATCTAAAGGAAGTTATGGTACATGACATCAATCAACTCTTTTCATAACAGCAGGAAATTACAATAACAATACCACACATTACTAAGGTGTCAACACAAAATTATGTCCATTATTTGATGAATACGGAAAATAATCAAAGCTAATTCTTACCACTCCTCTAAACTTGGCAGGAAGTATGCTTGAGTAAAATGGCACATGAGAAGTAGCTAGTAAAGCCTGCAGAGTTAAAAAATAATTTATTATAAAAGAATGCTCTGCTTCATTGACAGACTTTTTTATGCAAATCTGAGCTATTTGATTTAAAATTCCTACTAACAACAAAGAGTGCAATTTCTTTAGATACACCTACATTCTAAAACAACAGACATAACTTATTCAAAGTTTTCTTAAATGGAATGGTTTTGAAGGATTATAAGGAAATCTGTTTTATACAAAATGTTGTTTCAGCTTACTATCAGAAGTTATGCCCTCTGAACAGCATTACCTATCACTAATTAGAACTGATTATTGATACTTTGAAGAAAACACTTCTTTGTAATAACAGCATTAACATACGGAGGTCAAGAGAGGGAGAGTCTGCCAGATTATATTATGTAATCCAGGATATCATGGCTCAAATATCACGACATGGACCCAACAAGTACAATAAAATGGGAAAGGACAGAATTTAGAGAAACAACAACAGCAAGAATTGAATAGGATTACATTTGGCTCAAGGATGATATTTACACTACTATTTCAGAAAGAGGTGTATACTAAAATATCCCATCACTATTGCAAATTGCATGTACTATGAACATTCTTGTTAAACTGAAATTGTACTATTAAGTTTTGTAATGTAATTTCAGTAAAAGCAATTTAATGTCAATACTGCATTCACTTTATAGAACACCATGAGAGGAATTGAGAGCTGGATTTAGATGCAGACATTTTAGGTATGTTCTAGAAAATTGTCAGACATCCTATGCTGGGCACATGTCTGGCTTGCTTCATGCCATTGTACAAAAAACAAGCCGCTGATTTGATTGACAGATGTCGAAATTGTTTTTATATCTGAAAGTAAAAGGTGTGTGTAAATTGACCTTGGACAAAAACCTCCCGCAAACCTGCTGAGAAAGAGTTTTGCTTGAAAGATATTCATGTCACCTTGTGTTACATAATGGAAAATTATTTATTTATTCAATTACCAAGTACAGCCTGTCCCTCAGAAATGAGGATTATTGGCTGGGGGTCAGTATAACAAAATTTAGTTTACAGGAAGGCGATTTAAACATATTAATTTTTCTTTGAAAACAGTCAGTTAGGACGGATTATTAACATAGAGGCAGGCAGATTGTTCCATTGAATATGTTGCAAAACTTGCATGCTATATTCTAATTTCCGGTTAAGTGAAATCAATTAACGCTATCGCATTCCGCTCTTATTCAATCGAYTTCCAAGGAAAATGGAATATTCTTTTTAATTTCAACGTCATAAAATTTCAACATTTTGACTTGAATATTAATCGCCATTTTCGGTATTTTGTTAAGCGTTAAAACTCAATTTGGATATGAATGTTTACATTTTTAAAGTGAAATGTACAAATGAAGTTGTTTTCACGGACGAAATCTACTAGTTACCGCGAACATTAATATTACGTAATTGGCAAAAAACCAAAGAAAGAGTGTTGTGTTTCATTCCTTCTTTGCAGGTACTAGACAGGTCAAAAATGCGCTTCATCAAAAGCATCGGTATTTCGTAATTTGCCGCAAAAGCACAGACAGAGTCCAATTCATTTCTAAAAATGTGAGTGTTGAAGAAAATCTTTTGAGACAAAATTACAACGTTTATTAAAATCGGCTAAGAGCACATTTTCGCTGTGTGGCAGTCGTTGTTGGCTTCAGACAGTCAAAGCAATGAAGATATTAAACAAAACATTTCATAACATACCCTCAATAGATCGAAAACAGATCCCTTTTCATGAACAATATTAGTTAGCTTTAAAAATTGTAAAAATTTCGTCTTTTTTGCAATGCATCGCGAAATGAGTAAACACAAGTGTTTCACGGTTGTTTACCAGCGCTCTCTCTCTTCAATTCAACACGCGAAGTTGATGCTTTTAACAATAGAAAATATTTCATGACTAGGAACAAYGAACGGACGATGATCCACCTGAACCTGGATTGCGGAATTCACGCACAACGGTTCTAACACGATATAAGCTTTTAAGCTTGTAGCTTTTAACCCTTAATTAAAAGGGTTTAGTTGTTGCGAACTTAAGTAATGTTGATCTAATTTACTACTTACATCGATCAAGTCTTGTTTTGAGGAAAATTCAGAGACGATAATGTTCTTAAAGTCAGATATTCTCGTAAGAGAAATGTGTAGCCGTCCACTGGCAATCTCATGAGCATTTTCAGGCAAGATCTTCTGAAACGACTTGCGTACAGTGTCTACGATACGAAACTGTGGATGGAGTGGTCCTAATGTCAAAGAATTTGCTCTCTTAGCAAGACGAAGGACAAATTCAGCACTTCCTGACAAGTTTAGGTCCATCAGTAATGCCGTAGCGGCAAAAGCACCAGCACTTGCACCACCAAAACATTTCACTCGCTCAAGAAAAGCCGGCGCGTTGTCTTTCAGACCAGATACGACACCAAGATGGTAAATGCCTAAAAAACCGCATCCAGAGAACGCAATATTAAGATCCCTTGTAGAACTCATGTTTTCTACCTTTTCTTGGAGGCAATGAGTTCATTTGACCAAAATCAGATCTAAAATGGCGCTATTTTCATCCGATTTTATAGCTTTCTACTCCAACATGTTTCATTGAGGTCATTCCTTCCAACACACCCCCACCCGCTCCTACAGTAACGAAAAATACTCGGCGCTGATTGGCTATTTTTGACAGGAACCCATTCAACTGTCAAAAGAAGGAGTTCTCATTGGTTAATTTTATTGATGTGTCATCAATAAAACCGGTTTTTCTTGTTTTGTTGAATTTCAGTTACGAAGCAGTAGAGACGACATGTGACTTTTTAACTGTTATGGTTGTAGTCACGTTGTTTCCCTCTCGTGAAATTTGTATCCGAAGGTCAGATGGTTAGATATACAGCATGAGAATTTGTAACACGAGATAACACGATTTATTAAAGAAAAATTGAAATATAACATTATGTGAACAGGCTCTTTTCCCTATTAAACACATTGTTTTTGGAGGAGAGAGGGAAGTGTTTTTTTTTTTATTTTGATATTTCTATATTTTTCTCTATTAGTGGTCGGTCTATATTTTTCTGTATATTTTTTAAAAAAATCAGTTTTTTGTGGCTGTGCTGATTATAACTATTTGTAAAATGTATAACGATAAACACGCACGAATGTAGAGGGCGTAGAAGAGACTTGTATATGCGCTATGCAAGTTTTTCTTTCCAGTACGTGACTCGTGGTAATTCCTGGTAATTCCTGGTAAATCCTGTACAGACGCGCCGGAGCGCAAATTGTAAACACGTTTCCAATCCCTCTCTAAATTCTACAAGGAACGCCTGGCTACAGCAGAAACATAACAATCGGACAATATCGGACAACACATTCAACTTTTTATTAATTTAGTTGATGCAGTTTTGGTTCGGCTGTGCGCAGTCTACCGCAAATATGTTGGAAAGAGTTTTGCAACATAAAATGTGTTGCAAAACTTGTGCAAAGTGTACTGTCTATTATACTAATTTCCTGTTAAAAAATAAATAAACAAATAAATGAATTCTTCTGCTCTTATGCAATCAATTTCCAAGGGAAATAAAAAAAAATTCTTTATTTTAACGTCCTAAAATGTCAACATTTTTTCCAACTCAATAAAGTGAAAAGAAATGCACAAATGGCTCTGTTTATGTTATTAATTTCCTGTTAAGTGAAATCAATTATTTCCGCTCTTATGTAATCAATTTCTAAGGGAAAGAAATATATATTTTCTTAATTTTATTTTAAAGTCATAAAATTTTAACATAAGAGAAAAATAGATAAACATAAAGTGCTGCAAGATATATTGTTTAGCGGTTCCAATCCCTCTCTGTACAAGGAACAAGGAACGCCTGGCAGACTTGTGAGGTTCGCAAGACTGTATGGAATCGGAATTTCTTGTTTTAGATGGAGGTCTAGCTACAGAACTCATTAAACTTGGTTTTGATATCAATGTACGTATGTTCTGTGATAAGACTAGTTACGTGTATTCTGTTGTCTTATATAAAATGGTAAAACAAAATTTTGACATCCATCGTTTTTGAGCTCATTTGGACTGGTAAATCAGTAAGCTTGATTGATGATTGATGATTATTGCTAATTTAGCAGTTTTCAATCAATGATAGAGCATTGTATTATTCTAGGATGATCCACTATGGAGTGCAAGAGTGTTAGCTGATAATCCTGAGGCTATCAAGCAAGTGCATTCGAGGTATGATTTCAGCAAAATAATGAAGGTTTAATCTAATGATTATGAAAATATAAATTTAAGTTATGTAGCCTGTGGGAATTGAAGATAATTAAAATTTCTTTATTTTGGACTAAAAAAGACTTTGAAAACGTCACGTAGCAAATACAAACTAGTGAAGTCTACACACTAAAGCCAGGTTTTAATAGCAAAAATAGTTTTGCCTACATAAAGGGCTTCTCAATTCTGATGTTAGACTTTGTATGTTTACGTAGTGTTTGTGAAATTCAAAAGAATTTGTTCCGTTTTAGTTTTTTGGAAAGTGGAGCTGATGTCGTCATAACAGCTTCTTATCAGGTGATTGTTATTATACCATCATCATGAGTTACCAATGGAGTGCAAGCATGACTATATGTACCAATATTGTAGGCCAGCATTGAAGGGTTTAATAGAAATCTTGGAAAAACACCACAGGAAGCCCAACAACTCATCAAGAGAAGTGTCCATCTGGCAAGACAGGCTTGCAATGAGTTCTGGGAGCTTCATAATAAAAACGCTTCAAATGTAAGCCATGTTCATRTTACAAGATTGGCATACTTCAATTTTAAAAGTGCTTTGAGATACTGAATGATAGCTGTTTTATACAATTACTATGAYATCATAATGATTATCAAAGATATCTATATTTGTTGCAATGGTTATTTGGCATCTTATCTGAGATTCAAAAGCATGATTACCTTTCAAGAAGTCACAAGAAAGGAGACAATTTCTTTGAGGTTTATTATTTTTTTAAGGCAAATAAGAGATTAGTAAAGCCCATGGTAGCTGGATCAGTTGGTCCTTATGGAGCCTGTCAACATGATGGCTCAGAATACACTGGGAACTATGTTGATCACATGACTATTGAGGTAAGAACCCCCTAAAATTTTAGGGGGAGGGGGTAAAAAGCATTTGTGTCAGAGGCTTTAGAAGTATCTTCCACTCACAAAAGAAAGTTTTTGCAAGCTATACATGCATAACAAGCAGTCTTCATGTTGCTTTGTACCAATACCRTCTTATTGTTTTCCAGGAATTACAGTCATGGCACAGGCCTAGAATAGCAGCATTAATAGAAGCTGGTGTTGATTTCCTGGCCATGGAAACAATTCCGGCGCAGGTATGATTGATTTGACAATTTTGGTAACTCAGTGGTGCTTGAAGGCAGGTAAGGAATACTTGATTATCCAATATATTATTACAGAAAGAAGCAGAGGCATTAGCTGGACTTCTCCAGGAATTCCCTGGCATCAWAGCCTGGCTGACATTATGTTGTAAAGTAAGTGTTGGTTCTGTTGGGGCAGGTGGTTAGATCTAGAGCTATAGGGGTTGTAGCACTGCACTACAGTTGGGAAATTTCTTTTCTATTTATTGCAGAATAGACAGAATTATTGTTTTTGATATCCACTAAAGGTTWTGCTATCATAAATACAGCATTATGAGACCTAGACAAAAGTCTATTTAGGTTAGACCATGGTTGCATTTATAAAACCAAAAAAAAGTGTAACAAAATGTYGAGAAAMGCTGGGTGTTGTAATTCAGCATTTTTTTCAAATTTGTTAAATTATAATAGTTTTGTGGATACTGAAACAATTAGACCACTCATTT